CAGTTGGTAACCACATCTTGTTCATTCTGCCTCCTAATCATCTCTCAGATCCATCCTCTTATTTTTATCTTCACTGTTATATCCTTAGTATGGGCCTCTTTCTTTTCCCCTTAAATAATCCAATGACCCCCTTACAGGTCCTCCTTCCTCCAGTCTCTTTTTCTATTTTTCCATACTATATGGCTATAGTAATCTTAATAAAATGGCCTATAATGTGTTTGCCTTTGATTTAATATATTTAAAGTATTCAGTATGTTTGCCTAAATGGCTTTCCCACAGTCCTTGGCGTGGCTTACAGAGATCATATTTTGGCTTGCCTGTACTTGTCCAGCTTTATCCAAAAAAATCCAATGGACTAGTCTCGGTGTGCACCTTAATTGACATTTCAAACAGCACTTGGGACTGTTAACTGCTACTACTTACCTAAAAACAAACAAATATATTTATTTTTCTGTGCCTTGTAGAAAACATGGAAAATACGTGAGTAAAAGATAAAAATAATAATCACCACTTACCATAACCACCATTAACACTTATTCCCCTCAAGTCTCTTTTTTCATGTACTTATATAAGTATAGAATGTTTTATTTATAAATATTTTTTCTTATAACTACCTTCTCTTGACATTAAACAGGTTTTTTGAAAACAATTTTAATCATTGTGTAATGTATTATATAGATTTACCACAATTTATTTAGCCTTTCTCCTACTGTTGACATTTAGCTAGTTTTCAGTTATATATCTAGCTCTCTGATAAACATTTTTGTAGACAAATCTTTGTCTTAGATTCTTCTTTTATTTTTAACATTTTTTATTGATTTATAATAATTTTACAATGTTGTGTCAAATTCCAGTGTAGAGCTCAATTTTTCAATTATACATGAACATATATATATTCATTGTCACATTTTCTCCTCTGTGAGCTATCATAAGATCTTGTATATATTTTCCTGTGCTATACAGTATAATCTTGTTTATCTGTTCTACATTTTGAAATCCCAGTCTATCCCTTCCCACCCCCTGCCCCCTTGGCAACCACAAGTTTGTATTCTATGTCTATGAGTCTGTTTGTTTTGTATTTATGTTTTGTTTGTTTTGCTTGTTTGTTTGTTTTTGTTTTTGTTTAGATTCCACATATGAGCGATCTCATACAGTGTTTTTCTTTCACTTTCTGGCTTACTTCACTTAGAATGACGTTCTCCAGGAGCATCCATGTTGCTGCAAATGGCATTATGTTGTCAGTTTTTATGGCTGAATAG